AATAAATCTGCAAAAATGTCAACGATTCTGTGTTTTTCTGTCAATATGGGGTGCTGTGTGTACATTAATGAGGAAAAAAAATTAACTTAAATGATTTTAGCAAATGGCTTCAATATAACAAAGAGTGAAAAATTGAAGGGTGTCTGAATACTTTCCGTCCCCACTGTGTATATATATATATATATATATTATAAAATATAATGTTTCCACATAAATATTAAGCAGCACAACAGTTTTCCACATCAACATATTAGAATGATTTCTGAAGGATCATGTAACACTGAAGACTGGAGTAATAGCTGCTGAAAATAGAAAAGTTATTCTAACTTGTAACAATATTTCACAATATTATTGCTTTTGTTTGTTTTTTCCACCAAATAAATGCAGCCTTGGTGAGCATAAGAGACTTTTTTCAACAACAAAAAATCTTACTGGCCTCAAATTTTTTGAATGATAGTGTACTGTATATCTACACTAGTACCATCCTTCCCAACTCTCCCATCCTCTGTTTATTCCTTTAGGATCATAAATGAAATTTTCTTAAATGGGCATATTGTCAGAATTCATCCATTATCCTTTCAAAAGACCCTTTACTCTTTGACTTGCTCTTTTTCTTTCATGCTGCAGGATGAGTCATTACAGAGGCTGCAGAAGGAGTCCGAGATCCTCCAGAAGACATATGCACACTATTTTGACCAAACCATCATCAATAATGAGATTGACGAGACTATTCGGCTCCTGGAGGAAGCCATAGACCTGGTTTGCACCACGGCCCAGTGGGTTCCAGTGTCCTGGGTCTACTAAAACAGCAAGCCCATCAACCTGTAATCTTACACCCTTCATAACCTCATACTTTGCGGCGCATCTCTGCAAGAAGAAGAAGAAGAAAAAAAACTTGCAACTTTCCCATGATGTAAACAGAAGCCCACCTCTGACGTTTAACAACAACATTGATGTACCTGCAGTGAGCCCAGTCTTGGCCCCTCACAGACTAAAAAAAAAACTGATCCACATCTTAGTACTTACTACTGTTTTAAAGTTTAGGGTCAGTAAGATTTTGTTTTTTTTTTAGAAATGAATACTTTTATTCAGCAAGGATGCATTAAATTGATAAAAAACTATTCGGCTCCTGGAGGAAGCCATAGACCTGGTTTGCACCACTGGCCAGTGGGTTCCAGTATCCTGGGTCTACTAAAACAGCAAACCCATCAACCTGTAACCTTACACCCTTTATAACCTCACACTGTGCAGTGCATCTCTGCAAGAAAAAAAAAACCTCAGAACTTTCCCCATGATTCAAACAGAAGCCCACCAACAACATCGATGTACCTGCTGTGAGCCTAGCCTTGGCCCCTCACAGACTACCTAGACGTGGTGTTGTATTAATGGAAAAAATAATAAAAATAAAATAAATACTAAATATTGTCATGTCTATATCGCTAAGAGACTGATTTAAAGAGACAATATCCTACATGATGCATTTTCCTCCTTTTTTTTTTGTTTTTCTGCCCATTTTTCTGTTATTACCAGAGCAAAAGTGCAGTATTCTTACAGCAGAATCCTCACAGCTTTCATCTGTCCATTAACTCACCATCATACATAATCCCCACATTATCCAAGCGGCAGAGCCCAGCTGCTTTAGCACAACCCACCGATTTGCCTTTTTTGGGTTTGTTTTTCACGTTTCAGCATCTTCTACGCGATGGATACTGTCTCTCTAAAGATGTACATAAATGTTTTAGAGATTTGAATGAGATCTCATGCATGTGAACATTCACAAGCGTCCATGCTGTCAGTGTTAGCTGTGTTCAGACCGTCACCCACAGCAGAAAACATTCCATTCGTCTGGACGAACACATGCAAACAGGTGTGGCCGGATGGTGACGAGGAGAAAAAAAAAAAAGACCTATGCACATCCCTTGCATTTTGGCAAATTTGTAAACAGTTTATTTTTACCAGTCATGTAGTAAAATGTTGTAAATGGTCTAAATTTTTATTTGTTGTAAGATTAAGGGGTTCAGGATGAAAATGAATTCACAAAACTGTTCTGCCATTTCAGAAATGTGTTGTTTCTGTGGAGTTGTTTGAGGAAGAGGTGCGTCTGTGCAAAGCGAAAGACAACACTGTTCATCTGAATGGTTCTGTACATGACAAACTGTTTACTCAAACTGCCGATGACGGAGCAGATCCTCGGTATGAGTGTGTTTTTTTAAATATATTTCCTTTTATGTGGTAAAGACTCTGTCTTCTGCTCTGTGTTGCTCATCCACCTCTTTTGCTCTGCGTCTTTATGTGAGTTGGCAGAGACTGGGCCAATGGAAAACTTTTCGTTCCTTTTACCTTTTTTTTTATTTTCAGATTTTTCTCAGCAACTGTTGGTAGGTCACACCCTGCCCCCTTGTTACAGTGCCCAATTATGTGTCTGAGTGCGAAGCAGTGTGTTTGCTGGACTAACGGTACTCTGTCATACATATTTCTGTATGCAATAGAAACCAAGAGTGAGTGTGAAAAGTCAGTGTTATCGTAATATACAGTAACATTCAAGATTTTTTTTGAAAGAAATCTATGTTCATCAAGGCTTCATTTATTTAATCAAAAATACAGTAAAACGGTAATTTTGTGAAATATTATTACAATTTAAAATAACTGTTTTCTATTTTACTATATTTAAAAATGTTAATTATTCCTGTGAACTTTACTTCAGTTTTCAGTGTCACATGATCCTTAGGATATCATTCGAATATGCTGATTTAGTGATCAAGAAACATTATTATTATCAATTATATTATCAATTTTGTTGAAACCAAGATACATTTTTTCAGGATTCTTTGATGAATGGAAAGATCAAAAGAACATTATTTGAAATGTAAAATGTAATGAAATGTAAAATATTTCTATTACATTTTCATAAATGTCTTTTTCACTTTTAAACAATTTAATGCATCCTTGCTGAACGAACTAATAATACTTTATTTAAAAAAAACTGTAGTGTGTATTTCACAGGATTTATTTACATTATTACAATCCCAGAAGGCACAGCTAAAGGGCACTTGGCATCACCTTCCTCTAGCTGGATGGGCTATCATCTTGACTTGAGCTTTCTTCTGCTTATTCACAAACTGCTTTCCTCCTGAAGAGAGCTGCTTCTTATCACCGTTTCTGCCATAATGAAGAACAGATTAATGCTGGCTTCCAACTGATCAAATATACACGAATGACACCTTTCACCTGCTGAACCCCAATTGACATAGAGAGGGAGGAATACAAGCGCTTGTCTCAGTTCTGCTGTCATAGAAAGCCATACACAAATGTTTAGAAACTGAGGAGACTTGACTCATCAAAAACAAAGGAATATAAAACCAGAGCCAAATTTTGCATGGCTAAATTGTTTTCCCGAAAATAAGGCAGACATGGTGAATTTCTCATTTTATAAACAATATGAAAAATGTATTTCTGAAGTGTAGTTGGTCAGTTTTAGCTAAAAAAAAAAAAAAAAGATTATAGTCAACTGTAGTCTCACCACAAACATAAAATTACACTATCAATCTGGGGGATATATATGTATATGGCTGGGCGATATGGGCAAAAATTCATATCTCTATTTTTTGGCCGATTTTCGATATATGGTATATCTCGGTATTTTTGTATTTGTATTAAAAAAAGTCAGCCTTTCTGTCAGAGCATATGAAGGGCCGAGCCACTTAAACTAATATGCGAAACGAAACTATAAACTGTTTTACCAGTTTTTAAAGGCCTTAATATGAAGCTTGTCACATGTTTAGAACAAATTGGTTTATGCACTTTCTCCGCAGCAGCTCAGTCTGTGTCCTCAGCTATATTTTCAGATGCGCTCATATCAAACTACTGTATATCGATATAAACGGTATTGCCTCATATCGAATCGCTTA